GTCTTTTTGTCAGCGGGGCCCGGGTGGAATTTAACTCAGAATTAAATTCTTATCGGGGCCCCGACGGGACCAAAAAATAGCCCGGTACCCGCAGGGTCGCCCCGCGGGGCCACGTCGGGGTCCCGCCCGAAAGTAGGAAAAAAACAGCCCGGGAACTACCCGCCAGGGCCCCTTTTCCCAATTGGGACCTTAGCTTTACCGGTCACAAACCGTAGAGGTACAGAGGAACCTACGAAGGACCGGTTGAAGCTATTAAAAATGTATGCTTTAATGTTACTTCCTAATGTTATAAATGTGCCATAATCGTATCAGTCTAAATTTTGCAATCACAGCCGTGTTTTTGCAGTGTCACGTCTGCTAGTTGTTGTACTAGTACCCAGTCTCTATTTTTTTTCTGTACGAGACTTGTATGTACTTCGTGTTCTGTATATGTATGTTTAGTAAACTTTCCCCTATTTCTGTTCGGAATTCTTGGTATCTTTCAAGCAGACTTTTTCTAGATTTCTATAACTTTTTCTATGTTATTCTGGTGTTCTTGGATCTCGCTATGTTGTCGTCATGTCCCAGGGTATTTCCTTATTGTGGTTCTAAATGGGACATCACTATGTGTGCTATTTATCACCGACAAAGATTCAGTCCTATAATTACTGCCATGGAGGAACGGTTCTACTAACCCTAACACATGTATCACTCGCAGTGGTTTTGGGAAATTTTGGTGAGTTCGCTTTTACGATAAGAATTACAAATTATTGTTTACGGATTCGATGGCCGGGCAGAGTATCCATCTTAGTCAACGTCATAGTCAGCGTGACTTGAACGTTTTATTTGTGTGATGTTAGAAATTAAGTTCTTGGTTGTGTCTTCAAAGTTCCGGTGTCAGAATTTGGGTGTTGTTATATCATGACTGATCGATACATCATTGTGGATCACTGACTCGGAGTTAGAGAAAGTTTAAAGTTGCTTGTTGGCTGGTTACCGCACGAGTGGAGAGAAGTTGGAATTTTAGTTTATTACGTATTAAAAATGTGTGCCACTTGACGTTAACTTCCACCGGGATCAAGTTTTTCGGTCTTTACTTGATATTCTCGGACTCCTCTTTCCGACAAAACCCTTGTGTTGAAATGAGTGGCTTTGGGATATTTTGCAGGCCCCAGCCAAACTCTGCTGATATGTCAGATCTTTCCAGCTGGCCTTTCTAATCATTGTCGTCCTGTAACTGACCCGGTAAAATACCCCTGGGCGGGCGGGCAGTGCTGACTTCACTCATCTTGTTCTTTGTGTGGTTTATTCCGTCCATTTTGCTTGCAGAATTTGGTCAGTATTTCATTACAGATCCAGCTGGTTGTCTTTATCAGGTATCGACGATCAGTGTTTTAGTGAATTGTTTTTAATAGCTGCTCGTTTTCAGCTGCTGGTTTATGTAAAGTTTGAGCCACCTGACGCCAAGTTCCGCCGGGGTTTTCCGGTCTTACCCTCAATTCTCTACGTCAAGGCTCTACTGTCCAGTAACCCCGGGTGTTGGTTTTCTTGTCTTTCCAGTAAATCTCAGACATGCAGCGAGGGATACCCTACTGTTCTACACTGAACACCGGTGCTGGCATATAAGGTTATGCCCTGTCCGCGCTAAACTGCCCGCACCTGCCAACGACTCGGGGTTCCGAACAGTGGAGACCATCTCAGTGCACGGAGAAGGTTTCAGTACGTCATATACTCATCTCTAGGTCAACGCCATTTTGGTTTTAACAATAATACTATTCACACAATTGCAAGTTGATATTATTTCCGCGTATTCTGTACATATGTGTAGTTTACCTGCTGACATCCCGACATAATAAGGTCCAAGTTTCACATCGTGGTCACGCTGAACGCTGAAGAACTATGCTGAATAACGCGACCCTAGCTAGCATGCAACAAACTTCACTAACCTGTACTACATTGTTTCTTTCAGCTCTACATGACGACAAACACAACAGTTACTCAAGAATACAATCAAAAAGTGGAAACAAAATACCAGGTGAGTGCCTAACCATCCTTATTTTATGCAATAGTGTTCATAATCACGATGGTTAAGCAATGTTCGCATCTCTATATAGTACTTCTTTCACAATAAGCTGTGTGACTTTTGAAATACGGTAACATGTTTACTATGATGTCATTGCTGGGAAAACAGTGTAGCCTGGGTGCCAGGCCCTGTGACACGATACTCCATTCAGTCGGGGAAACCACACGCCCGGAACCCAGAATAGATACTCTAGATAAATTGAAGAAGGATGCAAGCTCCGAAACTGGGGCGTGTTGGGCGATATAGATGCCCGATCGAGAGACTCAGAAAAAAACACTTTCTTTCTCCTAAGCGAGGAGGTAAGCTCCTTGTTCTAAGTGCTAGGGTCTGGCACATATGCTAGTCATAATGAAATTATATATATTACCTGGCAGCAGAAAATCTCACACAGCATGTTTACTTCATGATGTCGCAAATTTCATTGCCAGAAAAGGGTGTATTTAATTTATGTGTCCGCTTTGCATATTTACATTCATGTGTAAAACTTGACCACAAATCATGTTAATTTAAGTTATTCATAGCTGGCCAAAGTTGACATAGATTCATTTATGCTCTTTTCTCTCTTTATACCCACAGGTAAAATTCGCCATGCCCACCCTGAAGTACAGACTACAGCAGGAATTCACTGGCCAGCATGAAACCCAGTCGTGGAAGGATTGTGGTGTGCATTCATGTTTTTCACGCAAGAAAATTGAAAAACAAGCATTGAATGCAACAGCATCGTGAAAGCAAAGAAAAATAAAAAATAAAAAAAGCAAGACTGACACAAACATACATGATAGGAAACACACAAGTGAATAAAATTCCTTACACAAAACATCACTGTTACACACAGTAAAGTTATAAAAAACGACCAGCATCATATAATTGAAACTAAAAACATAATTGAAGCATTATAAGCTTGAATGTCGCTCCTTGTTCTTTCTTATGAGCAAGAAAATTTGTTCTCTCTTGATAGGAGAAAACATATTTGAAATATCAATAAAGATAATCATAAATATTCTGTGTGCAAAAAGGCACAGTTTACCCGAAAAGGTGCTTTTTGCATGCATGGTAACATAGGCCTTTCCTGCTGGGTCCGAAAACATAAGGCCGGAGGCTACCTCAAAACCAATTCCCCAGGGAATGCATTCGTAAAATTTTCTAAATTCTTTCAGCTTGATCGTAATATACTGTAAAAATGCCTCCGCCCCTGAGGCGTCGCCAAAAACAAGAGAGTGTACAAACACAAGAACGACTTGCTACTACTACACGTACATGTACTAGCATATGCGTATGAAGGGGGGGCTGTGAGTCATGTGCACATGTCAAGATCTAGGATGGGAGTTGGCTAGTAGGGGGAAACGGGGTCGGGGGTCGGTCGGGGGTGGATGGGACGGAAAAACAAGTCGAGGGGAGGGCATGAGAGGTAGGGTCCGAGGTAAGGATCAGATACAACGTGGACGCACCAGACATGTAGTGAGAAACCAATCAAACAGTCAGGACAGCCCATCAGACAACAAATGCTGGAAGAGTGAGTGTAGAAAACTGTGAATCACGTGGGAGTAGGGCAGTTAGCACATTAATAACTGACCTAGCCAACCAGTCTATCAACCAAAAACCAAAACAAAACAAACAAAACGAGGAGGTTGTAACCGATCAAGGATGGGTACTATATACGGGAAGAAAGTCAGGAAGTTTGTTGGTTAATCACGAGGATGTAGCCTGGAATCCTGAAGGCAGAGCGGAGGGACGGAGCGGAGACACAGCGTTCACGGATAGATTCCAGGCTAGAGGGTTTGGGGTGGAAGGGGATATTACGTTCATAACATCACAACGTTCCCACGGGTGGGTGATCTGGAAGAGAAAGGCTAGGCGGTCAACTGTAACAGGCAGGAAGAGGGTATAGCCTGGCTGTCATTAACGCAGCGGGAGGTGAGGAAGTGCGCTGTCCTCGAGTGACACCTCGTGGTACAGAGAAGGTTGAGCCACGAATGACCCTTACGAGGGTTAGGGAGGAAGGGTCAGAGGCTAAAGGGGCGGAATAATTAGTATCAGGGTAGGGGTCACGTGATTGTCTGTTCAGTCGACGGGAAACGAGATTTCTTGTTTCGATAAGTGCGCTGGGTTCTTTAGCCTGCGTGGGGTGAATAAAAGAATACAGTGTAACAAGAAACAAGTCTTCTATTTGTCATAGAAATAAGTCAGCAAAACAGCAGAAGTCGCCCAATAGTCTAACAGCCCATGCAAATATCCACTGTGCCTTGATGCCATCGAACAACCGGTTTTTCATCTGAGCTAGCTGGAACCGGTCGTTGTCTACTTCTTTGATATCAGTGACATCGCTCGACTGCAGTGTCTGATTTTCACAACGACAAAAGCTATCTTGTCGCTCAGCTGTACTTAGGAAGAAAAATGTATTACGGACGTTTTTTGACGGCTGTCAGCCGAGCAAGGAGCAGTGCGTTTTTGAACAGCTTGCGTGAGTAACGACAACATTAATTGATGATTGTGTAGACAATTTATGTAAGATGAGCGCGTCGTATTGTGTTGTTTCATAACGTTAGTTGAAATTTCCACTGTCTTGAGATCGACATCCGACCCGTTCGTAACATCTGCCAGTGCCGCTGAGTGTCAACTTTCAAAGGCTTCTGGTTGTCAAGAACAAAACTACCTACAATGTAAGCAGATCCTGGGACAGTGAGTTCTTGAGCATCGGCAATATTGAAAATATCAAAAGGTTACTACGAGTAGACTTTTCGTCCGTTAGTCCTCTAGTTCTTTATGGAAAAGCGGAGGAAATGTTTGAAAAGCGGAGCCGAATGATTTTTGATTCAACAGAAAAGGGGGCCGCGTCGCTAATTTCCGTCTCGTAAACGGTCGATGTCATTAGAAACGGTCGATGCCATATCGTATCAGCACGGTCTATCCGTATCGTGATGTTTCGTGGCGTAGAGGTTAGGATATAGGTTAGGGTTTTGGAGCTACACTTTTGGACCCGGGTTCGAATACGAGCTTGTGCTCTTTGTTTTACTAATATTTACAATTTTACATGACCCTCCCTTATATTTGCAATTAGAATATTGCTTTTTATAGCATATGCTACTTTTTAGTCGTTTTTGGACGCTTGAATATGGCATTGACCATTCAGCAAAATGACATCGACCGTTTCAAATGGCATCGACCGTTTACGAGACGGAAAATAGCGGCGGGATCGATTTTTCGTCACGTAAAAAAAATGCATTTGTCGTCGTAAATACGGTGCGTTTTTCGCGAGGCAAGATTAGTTGTACATTAGAGAGACCCAAAATTAATCTTGTTCGTGTCAAACATATATTGGGAGTGATTAAGCGCAATCTATGGTCATGTCGAACAAGTGTAAAATAACGTGACTGAAGTGTCCCCGGCATATGGCAGAAACGTCCACCGCATGTGGCCGAAGTGTCCTAAAATGTCCATGGCCGAAGCGTCCATGGGCCGAGATGTCCTACTTCCGTGTAGAATTACTTCATAAACGCCACTTGTAAGACCAAGGACATTCTATGATGGAAGCTCCTTGGAAAGACCATTAATTTAGAATAGGGGACAGCCCACTAATTCCAGCCCCTATTGAAATATATAGGAAAGGTCTAAGAACTGAGCTGTCAACAATCACCTACTTGAGTGTTCAACCATTGCAAACACACATTGACAGGGTAGTCCAACTTCAAAATTATCCATTTAGTCCAAAAATTTCACTTTTTGATCAGCGAGACATAGCAAGTCAAATGCAAACACTGGCAACATGACCTCTGACCCCATTGAAGATCACCAAAACACAAGAAGATGGGATTAATTTTAGAATTCTATCAAGCAGCCAAAAAAAACCACTCAAAACCAGTTTTTTTTTCAACTTAATAGAAATAAAAATAACTCTCCAGATGGAAAATGCCAGCATTTGTCCACACATACCAAGAAAAAGGCTGTTTTCAGTTGGTTTGGCTGCACTCAATCAAAGGGGTCTCAAACTGGACCTCCTGCGCCTGCGGGTATGGTGACCTTTGCCCAATATACCTGGCAGTATGGGATCCATATACAAAGATGGACAAAGATGAACTGGAAAGGGTAGAGCTCTCCACGAACAACTATAAGGGGTGCTAGTGCCGGGAAATGAAAACAAATTTACAATTGGGGTCGCTGGAAGAGAGACGTAGAATGTCCAGACTGTGCATGACGTACCGTAAATGACTAATAAACTGGTGGACGTACAGACCACTAAGTATCTGATACCAGCCCAGAAAAGAACAAGAAACAGTCAGGCCTTCAAATATCAGAGTTATCAACCAAGAATTGAGGTGTTCAAAAACTCGTATTTCCCAATAACTATCGTAGAGTGGAACTCGTTGCCACCAAGCACAGTCGAGGCAACATCACTAGAAAGCTTTTAAAACCTAGAATATGCCGCGACAGTATGGGTGGGGCAAATCAATCCCCCATCGTGCATTACCTTCCAGGGAACCTAGCTGAGGTGGGCAGGAAAGAGTTCCTGCAGCCCAGAGGAAAACCCACCCCAACCGCGATACGACTGCATACCCTCTGGATACCAGGGTAGATAGTGGAATGTACTAATTTTTTTTCAGTCGTGGGCAGTTACACCCTCCCCCGACACGGACATGACTAATCGTCGATCTCTGACAGGAAAAAGAGACCGACCTAAACGACCCGTCCCTTGTAATCATGCTTGCCTATCAGAGGACGTGCTGCATAATACCAATGAGCTTGATATGACGTCCTTGATATTATTAAGTGTGGTCAGTGGTGGTGCCGCTCCAATGTACAGTGTATTTTAAAAGTGTGTGCAGTGTTGCCTACCAGACGCCATGTCGGTGGGGCTTGTTTCTGTTGGTATAAGTACTAGTATTCTGTGGCCTTCCTAACGGGTTATGATTATACAGTGTACTTATGATTTATGGATAAAAGAATTCGGCAAAAAAAAGGTTTATAGTATGATGGCCAAGCAAACTCCCCTGGCCAATTACTAGTATTCTCCTATTTGGGTCAAATTCTACTCCTTTTAACCCGCCACGGCGGTCTGTCACTACGGTATTCTTTCCCATTGCTGGGGGCGTGCGATAAAGTATCGGGTTACAAGACGCAATTTTGGGCTAACCGTAAAACATTTGAAAATAAACAAACTAGTATCGAAGGGAAAATTTCGTTGAAATAAAATAAAATTATTGTCTTTACATACATTCAATGATGATTTTTTGCGCTAAATGGATGATTTTTTCGTATTTTGTTAAAAAAAGTCGATAATTTTCGGGATTTCGCAGCGTCATATTTGAGCCAATCACCGAGCAAACCTGGCTACACATATTACGCAATATCACTGATTTTTATATTTTTCGACGACTAGGAATAAGACGAAAAATCGTGCTTTTGGGATTTTTTAATTTCTGACTATAAGTATAGTTTTTGTTGATAAATAGGTAAAAAAATGGATTTTTTTTGCTTTTTTCGCACTCATTTTTCCATAATTCAAAATCAAACGCATTTTTCAAAAATCCCAAAAGCACGATTTTCGGGACAACCGTGACAGTCATTTTGAGCCGTAAATGGGGTATGTTTGACTCTCCACGCTTCCAGGTTTGAACGAGTTTTGCAGACATGTCATATCTCCCAAAAGTGTGCACCATGTTATTCATAAAGGCGTAAAGAATCATTACAGTATTCAAGGTCACCCAAGGATACGACAGTAGCTTCGCTACATGTTACATGTCCACAAAAAATGATAGCGGATATGTACTGTCCTAGAAACTGTTTGTATCTATAGAAAAGTGTTGTTTTTTATCTGTTGCGAGTCACTCAGACAGAAGGGCTTGTTTTGCCGCTTTATTGCAAATGACCGCAGGTGACCCCGAAATGGAACGCGGGTTCTATTCAAATTGCCCAGATCGAACACGATCGAACACTGTTCGGATTCTATGAAATGTGGGAACTTTGCAGCCCAGATTTTACCACCGTGTTGCTACTTACTGTTAGTCTGGCGGAGACTAGGCTCAAGGCTCTGCGTTTCTGCGTCTCATACTGACTGTTAGGCGACCTGTAAGTTATATAATCATGATATAAAGTATCGAACCCCCCTAGAGCGATGAGGCAAGGACTACTTTAAAGAGTAAATGGCCGTTAAATGCAGTCAGTGACCGCCTAATTTGATGGTCATCCTGAACTTAATAAATTTATGCAGTACTTTTGTAGTATGTACGTAGCCTGACTTACCGACAGAAAGTATTTATCGTTATATGCTTTGTACACCATGGTTGTTGACATGGTATTTGCAAAACAAACTACTAGTAAATAGCGTAACACGTATTTTGTGTTTATGAACCGAAGAAAAGGTGCAGAAAGATACAAAAGTCCTCTGGCTGACAAAATGACAATTTGTCTCTTACAGTTGACATCCAGCAGCGAGCAGTTCCGGGGTCGCTGATCGCCCTGTCCACAGGCATGCCCAACACCTCCTGCTTCCCACTGTCTTATGCACACCTCTACACCAGGTGGGTTGAACTGTTATCTAAAGCTACTACAGTCAAATGTGCCCAATTAGGCCAGCTAGGGGACCGAGGTCTTCTTGGGCAGTTGGCTTTCTTGAAGTCTCCATATTTTTTTTCAGCTAGTGCAAGCATTAATTTACCTGCCCGAGTAAGTCACCCTAGCCTGGTGTCCAGCCTTGTTAGCTTTAGTCCGCTCCCCAAGATCCGCCTCCCGCCAACATCAGGGAGCGGACTAAAGCTAAGTCATTCAGTGTACTACACGGTCTTCTTGGACAGGTGGCCTTCTTGGGCAAGTTAGAAAAAAAAACTTAGGATCAGGAAAATGTAGTTGTTATGACAAGGTGGCCAGCTTGAAGAAGTGGCTACTTTGGACGGACAGGTTTGACTGTACGAGGAGTGTTCAAAAATTTCTCGGCCTCACCTAGAAAATAAAGGTCAAACTCCTATTCTTTGGTATAGCTGTATACTATGACGTCTTACATCACTGCACACAAAAATTCAAATTTTTGTATTTATTAATGAGCACGTGACGCCCCGTGAAAATGGGGTGGGTGAGGGCAAATCACAAAATGGCCGCAACAGAAGCGTGTGCTGTGATCAAGTATATCGATAAAACAGGATGTCTCCTAAGGACATACATGAAGACATGGTCAAGACACTTGGTGATGACTCCCCTTCTTATTTAAATATAAAAAACGGGGTTACTAGCTACAATCGCGGCAAGGAGAGCACAAAAGATGAACATAGGTCAGGATGCCACAAATCAGCACCACGGACAATCCAGTTGAGGCCATCCATCACATGGTAGTGAATGACAGATGTGAGACTGTCCAACATGTAGCAGGTTCTTTGGCCTGTGTTATGACTCAGTTCACAATATTTTGTCGAACATCCTGGGGATGAACAAACTGTCTGCATGGTGGGTGCCTCGAATGTTTTTTGAACATCATAACTTAAACAGGCTTGACATTTCAAGGAACGAATTCAGTCCAATTCATGCAGTTTCCTCAAAACATTTGTAACCCAAGATGAGCTGGGTTCACCACTTTCACCCCGAATCAAAACAACAGAGCAAACAATGGATGAAGAATTTCCCCCCCCCCCCAAGAAGTTTTAGCGAGTTTCGTCCGTTGACAGGGTTTTTGCCTCTGTTTTCTGGGACAGTAAGGACGTAATCATGATTGACTACATGCGAAGGGGTTAAAGCATCAATGGGGAGTACTATAAAACAGAATTACATTTGAGGGCAACGATCAAAGAGAAAAGGAGCGGAAAGCTCCGAGCTGGCGTGATGAAAATGCACCTAGCATAGATTCTACGCTAATGTAAGGTATCAGTGAAAACATTACAGGCTGCAATTCATAGTTGTTATCCACGAAAATAAGCCATTGTTATATGTGAAATTGTAACTACCCAGTCCGAGTACACAAGTTTTGGCGCGATTCACACGGCCGTAATCGGATTAATGTAAACACTTGTATCATATGCTAATAGGCGCCAATTATAAACACCTGGGTCTGCTGTGACTCGGCGATGATCTAATTATCACCATACTGTATCATATCATGTATTGTACGCTTGACTGTACTTACTACATGTAATAGGAATTCCTGGAGTCCTTATCAAGATGACAATTGTAGAGAAATTGTTAGTCACTCTTCAGTTCTTCGCGGTAATTACAATAGCCTTGCTACCTAAAGCCATCAGCGCACATGAATCCTGTCAAGTGGAGTCACTGGACTGGTGGCAGATTGCGTCACACCGACCGTCATCCCTCGCTCTAACTGGAATCCACACCGTCAGCAACATTGTAACATCCTCATGCAACACTGATGGCAGGGACAACAACCTAACAAATCATCATTTGAAAAGTGTATCGACACTTCTGGCGACACTAGCCCTGCTGCTATCTGGAGACGTTCACATGAACCCCGGACCTATAGACTTGAATTTAGCACGCAAAGGACTGCACGTGGGACACATCAATGTTAATAGCATACGTAATAAGGTTAATGAGATCGCTAATGTATTAAACACAAACAATCTACACATCCTCGCTATTTCAGAAACACACCTAGATAATACTGTATATGATGGCACACTTAATGTTGGTGACTTCTCTATACTACGCAAAGACCGAAATAACAAAGGAGGGGGGGGGTTGCTATTTACATAAAAGACAACATTCCTTACAAAAGGCGAACTGACCTGGAAACCCCAGACATTGAAATCATTTGGGCACAGGTATACATTCCATTCACAAAGCCAATATTAGTAGGATGTCTATACAGGCCACCTAGTGCCAAAATAGATTACCTACACAAAATGATACAGGTAGTTGACACGGTGACAAAAACAGATCATGAGGTAATGATACTAGGCGATTTTAATATAAACTGGACAAACGAGAACTGCACTCTAAGAGACAAACTAGACACAGAGTCGACAGCAATGAATCTTAAACAACTAGTAAAACAGGCAACTAGAATAGTTAAGACATCCAGCGGTCAAATAAGCTCGTGTTGTATAGATCTGATTTTTTCTAACAGACCTGACAAATTCTCAAGCACAATGTCCGTCCCACTTGGATGCACAGACCATAATCTTGTACACACAACACGTAAAACAAAAGTTACTGTACCAAAAAGACAACCGAAAATCTTACTGAAACGTTCGTACAGAAGATTTGACAAAGACGAATTCCTAAAAGATATTGAGTCCGTGCCGTGGCATCCGGTGTACAACAAAGACAACGTGGAAGATGCATTAGAATGCTTCATGACTCTCTTTACACATATATGTGACAAGCATGCCCCTGTTCAGAAATGTTCTGTGAGGGCGTCGCCCGCCCAGTGGGTAGACGGCGACCTCCGTGAACTCATTAAACAGCGAGACAATGCAAAGCGTGAAGCACATGCATCTGGCCTGGCGTCGGACTACAAGATCTATACTAGGCTAAGAAATTTAGTAGTAAACGAAAACAGAAAGAACTAGAAAGGCCGACATTTGCTTTGGAGCAAATACAGCGATGGGTTCACCACATTTTACGACATGGCAGGGAAAGAATGAGAAACACAAGGGAAAACAATGATTTACATTGATATAACTATAATATGAAGTAACATACAACTAAAACAACAGTTGGATAGCTATTCCCTACTTTATTGGTTAGGATTTTTAATTGCATAATGCAAACTGTTGATTTTCAAAAAAAAAAACGTTCATGCCCCGCATTCCAATGCTGGAGCAGAAAAGCTTGAAATACCTACCAAAACACTTGAATAAAGACAAACTGTCAGTATGGAAATGCTCTGTGCAGGTGTTAATCAAGTTAAATCCCAACAGCCAATCAGCAAGAAATGCTCTGTGCAGGTGGAAATGCTCTGTGCAGGTGTTAATCAAGTTAAATCCCAACAGCCAATCAGCAAGAAGTATAGAGGAAAGCTGCATGCCTATTGGTTGATGCCCTGCATTCCATTGTGATGACTCATGCCCAGACGTGGTAAACAAGGCACACTAACACAGTAATACATTTGCTATAACACAGCCAAAAAACTCAAATAAAACCATTCTAAAAGCCTGTATCACAATAATTTAAAAAACGCCTAGGGGTATTTGCCCACTGTACCTCCATACCAAATTTCAGGACCTTAGGCCCTAAAATGAAGAAGCTGAATCCATTTAAAGATATGGCAGGAGGAGGAGGAGGAGGAGAAGGAGAAGAAACATCAGAAAAAGCAATATGGTTCACCACACAAATACAGACATGCAAAGCATAAGAGTAATAAGGTAAACTAAAGTAAGCCGCATTATAACTAAATCATAAAATATGTAACAAATATATAACAGTATATGCAGGTAAGTGATAAGTGAATAAGTAGGCATTCCAAGTCAAACAACAAACTGGTAGGATAAGAAATTGATGGTTACTCAAATCTTTCCGTTTCTTTTATAAACAATTGAACACATTGTAAGAGTTTAGCGTTGTTAGAAGCCGACAGAGAAGAGGAACCTCTAAGCAGTAATTGTACTAGGCGATTATCGGGAAGGTTTTGGATGTTGATGGCAAATCCTACAAGTTCGGTTAAATTGCTGAAGAGGGAGACACGATATTGAGTAAACTTTGGGCAGTGCAGAAGATAATGATGAATACTTTCACAGGGGTGGCCACAAGTACAAGCAGAACTAGATACCAGGTTTCGAGAGTACAGATTAGAGTTTAGACTATGAGTACCAAGTCAAAAACGAGTGAGAAGAGAGCAGGTGTACCGGGGACCTATACTGAAGTATGAAACAGGGACAGGGCGCACAGATTTGATCATTTTTTTTCTTAAAGCGTGGGAAACTCAGTGAGCGGTCTGCTAAGGTAAGGTTGTTCCAGTGATACGTTGCATAGGGAATGAATGATTTTTTAAAGCGGGTTGTGGTACATTTTGGCAACTGAAGATTTAGTTTATTAAGAAGGTCGTAAGTAGAGACGTCTGATACTAGGGGCGGTATTAAATCTCTTAAGTATTGACGAGTGTGACCGTAGATGATTTTATAGAATAAAATAAGAGACTGAACATGGCGGCGATCAGACATTTGTTCCCATCCTAGTTCACTAAGTAGAGAAAGTCATCTGATATAGCGGAGTACTTCAATGACTATTTCATAGATAAAATTGAAAATCTCACAAAGGACCTTCATCCTGACATAGACAAGTTAACAGCTCCCATTGAAGAAAACATCATGGCCCATAAGAACTGTACTTTCAAATTTAACGAAACAACAGTTGCACAGGTATGTGGATTGTTGAAAACATTGCCATCCGGAAATGCTACAGGCCATGATAATATAGATAACACATTGTTGAGACTATGTGCAGATCATATTGCTAGTCCACTATGTTACATCTTTAACTGTTCCATTAGGCATAGTATATTCCCCTCACAATGGAAAATAGCCAAGGTCCTACCTCTGATAAAGAATAAATCCGCACCACTAAATCCGTTACCAGCAATCAGTAAGGTCATGGAGAGGGTATGTCAGAAACAAATACAAACTTACCTGATTTCCAACGAAATCATTTCTGAGAACCAGCGTGCGTATAAAAAATCACACTCTACAGCCAGCGCGCTCATTCAAATGTCTGACCACTGGTTGGAAGAAGTAGACAAGGGGAATTTGGTCGGAGCCATTATGCTAGATTTCAGCGCGGCGTTCGATGTCATAAACCATGACATCTGTTTGGCAAAACTGCAAAGCTACGGTTTTGAACAACCTGCTATCAACTGGATTAGCAGCTATCTTAAAAACAGGAAACAATCTGTATTTGTAAATGGTAGCTTTTCATCTTACAGAGAAACCAAGTGCGGTGTGCCCCAGGGCAGCTGCCTTGGTCCATTGCTATTTTCCATATTTGCAAACGACCTACCCACAATAACAAAGAATAGCATGTTAGTAATGTATGCAGATGACTCCACTCCGTCAGCATCGGCTCCTACTGTGGCTCAGTTGCAAAACAAGCTGCAGTCGGACTTGGAGCGAATTTGGGAGTGGGTGACAATAAATCAACTTGTACTTAACATTGGGAAAACAAAAGCAATACTGATGGGAACACAACAAAAACTAAAGCAGAGTCCAAAATTGCAACTAAGCATTGAAGGGACCAACATTTCACAGGTGGAACACACAGAACTGCTAGGCTTTACTATTGACCAACATCTCTCTTGGGCTTTGCACGCTGACAAAACAAAACTGAAAATGGCAGGTATTATTGCAACAATAAGAAGACACAAGACCTACTTTACCAAAAATGTTTTAAGAACAGTAATACAAACCCTCGTCTTATCACATCTTGACTACTGCTCCACACTATTGTCGTCAGCACCACAGACGCACATAGATAGACTACAATTAATCCAAAATCGTGCAGCTCGTTTAGCCACAAACGCCACTTTTGAAGACAGACTTGACAACCTATACACTCAGTTGAACTGGCAAACAGTGAAAGAAAGACTTTTCTGTAATACATTGTGTACATTTCACAAAATAGTCACTACAAAGCAACCAAAATGTATCTTCAAAGAACTGCAGCGAATTGAATCGACACATGATCACAACACAAGACTGTTTTAGAGAAGGGCGTTTGTTCAAGGCAAACCCAAGACCAAAGCTAAAACAAGAACATTTGTCTACAGAAGTATAAAAACGTACAACACGCTGCCTCCTCACATGCTCACCGAAAACGCACGCACATTTAAAGTAAATATCAGTCAACTATGTAAAAAGTACGAGCACACGTGGTGGTAAGACACATGGAGCACAGGTGTACCTCTGACCTCTCCACAACTTGTATATTTGCTGTTGTTAGAAGTATAAGTAAATTTAATAAGTAGTTACTGTTACTTAGTAATTTTTATTGTTCTTGTTAAGCAATTGTTATGTATAATGTTGTTGAATCTTTTGTAACTATTAAGTTGATAATTGTATGTATTTTATTATGTGAAAGGACTCCAGGAAGATTAGTATACACAGCTTGTATAACTAATGGAGATTCCCAATAAACAAACAAACACAACACAGGGGTCAGAGACAGCAGCAAACGAATGTGGGTTTGCAGTCTAACCCCACCCTTCCAATTCACCTGACCTAGCACCCTCGGACTTCTACCTGTTTCCTAAACTCAAGTTCCACTTAGTGGTCAACGTTTTGATGGTAATGATGACGTCATCTATGCGGTATAGGCCTATCTTTGGGGTCCAGATGCAACCTTCTTCCACAAGGGGAAAATAAAGCTGGAACATCACTGGACCAAGTGCATTGCAGTTAGAGAGGACTACATGTATATTATAAAATAGTTCAAGAAAAATTTTACTGCCCTGACGTTTTCTAGGTGAGGCCGAGAACATTTTGAACACCCCTCGTACCAGTATTCCAAGTTCCAACAGTGACCTGGTGATTGTGGGGAAATGTTGCTATAGATGCCGGTTGTATAGGTCTGCTGCATCAGTAGTATGTACTAATATTAAAGCCCCTGTTCAAGTCGTCATGTATCTTGTCCTGAGCAGTGTCAGGGATTGGAAGGAAGAGGGAAGATATTGGATTTCAGTTGATTGACAGGGTTGTGACCAGTGGCAAGGTCTGGGTGGTTGGATGTAGAATGTGGCATGTTGGTGCCATGAATTTCCAACTTCTTGACTGTAATTAAAATTCTATTATGAATTTGTTTTTATATTCCAACATTTCATGACCAAACATGGCGACGGCACATTCAAGTTATATCAACTTATTTTATGCCGCCACCAACACAGAGTACAAATACAGGACAGGACGATACTTATTTTCACCTGAGTTTAGTGAGGAAAGTCGTGTAAAGTGCCTTTCCCAAGATCGGTGTCATGTCAGGACCTCTTCGAAGTCGAGCACTCTGCTGCTACGCCACACGACCCCACACCTCATGAACTTATGTATATTTGATTGACAGGAAGGGGAAGAAGCTAGACTTGTCTCCAGTCTGGATGAACCAGGGTCTGCAGTACACCTCCTCACAAGGGTAGGCCTTTGTGTTATTATTACACTTGCTTGATTCACCAGGTGGCATTCCAAGTTATCTTGGCTGACATTTTTGTTCGTCTGTTTGGATGTGTTTTTAGTAGTACAGTTTCAGCACCTCAAGGACTATTTTTCCATGTACAACATTATACCAATTACGTGTATGCATGGAGGTAGAAGAGAGATACCTCCATGGTGTATGATAAGATGTTGATTTTTATGAGTTACATAGAATTAAATTCCTGCTAGAAATTGATACATGTTCTCTGGCTTTCTTAACCCATTTATAAAGTGATACTGAAGAAGAGTGACGGATGTCCGAGGAAAGTAATTTCCATAATTTATCCAGCTGTAGAATTTCTTTCAATATTGTTTACCTTGATGTCTATAACCTCCATCAATATATGATCCTGTCCTGAATCATTATGTACATCTGCAGGCATCCGGAGATGGTAGAATGGGGGAAGGAGCTTCAGAGGAGAAAACACAACCCTCCCACCGACTACCTGAGCCATGAGGGAAAGATGGACTTGTGTGTAACAGCTGGCAGCCAGGAGGCCATGTGCAAGGTACTCACACAGACTTGCCTCTTGCCTCACATGTTTTCATTGTGCAGTGTGCATTGATAGCATAGATTTCATCTGTGGAAGTTATACTCTGTATATCCGGTATAACCGCCCTTCGGCATAACACGCCAGCTTCGCAGGCACGCCTTGCAGCGGCATACTCACTCCATTCTACCTCCTCTATGAAGGCAGAGTGAAGCTGGTATAGGATCCGCAAATGGAATCCATGGTCTCCAAGCAGATCCTAAGGTGGTGATGCTCTTGTCCAAATGAGTAAACCATCTAAGCTTCATTGGCTACTGTTCACTTCTTTGTTTGACCAATGGTACTGCCTTTCCACCGTAGGATCTGCTGGGATGTTATGGAATCCATGCTAGTGTATACAACATATCCAAGAATGTTGGTCTGTAAAAGTTGTAAAGGAGATGTGCAGTTCTTCATTCCTCGAATTGAACATTTTTAACCAGACTATGGAGATGTTGGTGACTGCTGGTGACAATGTCCTGATTGAAACTCCCGCTTATCCCGGAATACTGTCTATTGTGAGTATTACCATATACTGATATTCATCACACTCAACATCACATTCGACACTCTTCAAATTAGTGTGAAACAGATTTTTGTCATACATAAAGAAAGGCAAAATTATCCTGCTCTTAAAGGAGAAATATAATGTCTCCATCTCAATATAAATGTTAAGAAAAACTTGCATAATTTCACAAGGCAGACTTTTGATGTACCTATGTAGATGTTAAAGTAGTTATCTCTTTGATAAACTTTTTTACTACGACAGAAGTAAAGTTTTTGGTGGCGCTGGTCTAGAGGGAGTTTGTATGTATTTGTTCATCAGCAGCATTGGGACTAGGAGGAGATAGGGTTTCAGTTTATTGGCCTTGAAGGCAGTCTACAAAATATTTTTTGAACCAGGCTGGGCAACCTACAGCAAAATTAGGTTGCCCAACAGAATTTTAGGTTGGCATGACTTTGGAGGGGGGGGGGTTCTTAAAATTCAGGTAGCACAATGGTCTACCTAGGTTCAAAAACAGGTTGCCCCAAGTAAAATTTGGTTGCCCGGGGCAACTGGGCAACTAGGTATTTTTGCACGCTGGAAGGGTAATTGCCCTCGGGTGTCAAGATCTGGTATGAGGGGTATGAGGTTGTCAGGAATGCGCACTGACACTGTAATCATGGTATGAAACTAAATCATTATTTAATAGCTGTAGTAAGTGACGGCGTACAATAGAATTAATAATCCATTCTATATAATACCATTCCAATGCATTCCCAAAAACTCCAAACACTTCCTAGAAAGCTTTACATTTACTGATCTCTGATTTCTTGTTCCTGGTTTTGTAGGCAAAACCGATGGGCTGCAACATCCTTGAGGTGGAGACAGACGAGCATGGGCCAAAGATAAGTTCCCTGCGCAGGATCCTGTCCAACTGGAGCCCTGCAGACAGTTCCAACATGTGTTCAGACATCCCCCGTGTGTTCTACACCACCTCGTCAGGATCTAACCCTACAGGCGTCACCACGTCATTGGAACGGAAGCAGCAAGTGTATCAGGTGCATTATAGCTATATAACTGTATTCTTTTGGGCGGTCCTCTATCCTAGTTACCAAACCTATTTAGTCTGCTACGACTTTCTTCACCGCTGGAGCGAGACTGGTCAGTTACAATAGGTTTAATAACCTGCCTATTCGACCTCGGCAACAAAGGTTGGAAGTGAGCGGGCAGAGATGGGGTTTCAGTTGATTGACTGGGTTGTGGCCCGGTGGTGGGGTAGGATGCAGTATGATGTGCCGGAAATGCATACTATCACAGTATGAAACATTAACAATGCGTGCAATACTGGAGCAAGATATAAAATACAATTGAGTAGTAATCCGTTCTGTGATGTAATTCAATCTGGCATTTATCTTCCCATGTGTGATTAGTGATTTATTCCACAGATAGCCCGCGAGTATGACTTCCTCATCCTGGAGGATGACCCGTACTACTACATCCAGTTCACAGAGGTATGGCCGTCAATGTTTGCTTCTTTTGGGGCCCCAATGTTATATCATATATACCTATCTGTTTTACTATGCTACTTATTGTTAGATATTTGCCATACAATGTACCCTGTACAATTGGCGTGCAGTAAAGTTCTTCTATCAGAACTCTTAACAAGGCGATAAACTTATCTTAAAGGTAACATCTTTCTTGAAGTTATACAGATGATACATGTGACTTGGTGAGCAGTGGATCATTTGTGTTGGTTGCATCAGACTTTCTGCAACGTATGATCCCACTGCATTACGTAACATCACCTAAGCAGTGGATTGCTCCTTTGGACTCCCTGATGTCTTTCCTTAGTAGCAGCAAAACGTCCGGTTTTGAATTCGATACCTTGTGTGCGAGACATCCTAGTTTATTTCACTTTTAATAATTCTGCTTGTTGTAGACTCCTGTGCCCAGCTACCTGTCTATGGACGTTGACGGACGAGTCATCAGATTTGACTCTTTCTCCAAGATTTTATCTGCCGGGTGAGTCTGTAAGATTTGAACTGACAGTAACATTATGTAGGTATGGATGCCTCATCTCAGACGTCCAAGTACTTTTATTGATATTTGCATTTAAAATGTACCCCATTAAGATATCTGTGCTGCAAGATAAATCTGGTAACATTATACTGGTGTGTAAAGAGAAGGGGCCGTTATACTGTCTAATATACAGATACAGATACTGAAAATATAATAATGATATTCACTTAAGTAAAGGTCTTGTCTTTTTCTATCCTGCTACACAGGATGCGTATTGGCTTTGCCACGGGTCCCCAGCCCCTGATAGAGAAGCTGGTGTACCACATGCAGGTCTGCACTCTGCATGCCAACACACTCTCCCAGGTAGGAAACAGCCCTTACTCTCCAATGTAGATGTTTAGTCTGTTTTATATCCTAAACTCTCCTTGGTTTTCTACCTTTTTGAAACGTTTTGGCTGGCTTTCAATTCCCTGGCTTTTCTTTTGCTATATTGGCTAGAAAGTCGAAAAAAATAGAGGTCATCGAAGCTCATCAAAGGTTTGAAATAAAGGCACCTCTGCTAGGAGAGTAAAATCTGATATGGAAATGTTGTATCTTTGTATTTTCCCAGATGATCTGCCTGCGGATTCTGCAGGATTGGGGACAGGAGGGATTTGATGCTCACACGAAGCGGTGTGTCATTGTACTTACTAGTATTACATGTAAGGCCACACCGACTTAATTGTATGGATGACATCCGCGCGCATTGACTTTCGCCTTTTCTAAAAAAACGTCCTCTGAGGCTCTAGCCTAGCTCTGGCCTGGCTCTAGGCCTGGCTTTAGGCCTGGGTAGTCCATGCTAGTTAGCGACAATACGGAAACGGTGGTAACTCTGGAGGATGGCACGCAGGCTATCGAAGGCGAGTTACATGCGTACAGGGCCGATTCACAAGTTCCGCAAAATGCCAGCATGTGGCGGCTTGTCGTATGTACTGCCGCAAATTCACTTTTGTACTGCCGCAAATTCACAACACCTGCTTTGTAGTCCTGTGGTTTAGTAGCATTTTTTATTTTTGGCCGTAATCTTTTTTATTCGCCCGCGCGCACTTATTTGGGGCTCTTCAGAGGAGGTCATCCATAAAATTCAGACGGTGTGGCCTAACCTTCTTCCTGCTGTCTAATTCCACCTGCTTTCTAATGCCATAACCAATACAGATTTTGTTTCAAATGGCTATCTTAGCTTGCTTGGTTGGGAATGTGCAATGAAGAATTACCTCCTTGTACAAGTTTATTGGTGTTTATTTCCATGCAAAGTTGATTTTTAGACTGTACCATCTAACCATCCTTTGCATCATAATTTGTTAAAACTGCTGTAACTATTTAATCATTGTTGTTTGTTACTTAACAGTGTCACAGAGTTCTACCGCAAGCGGAGAGACATCATTGTGGAGTCATGTGACACTTGGTTAAAAGGTATTGGGTCTTCAAATAAACATCATTTGGTGCAGAGAGTAATGTAAATGCATCTACTTCGGAGGTGGTTTTGTAATCCGATGTCTTTTATCATGTACATGTACTTGTGTTCTCTCCTGGAAGACTAGCTGTCACTTATTTATAGGTACACAGCTAAAGGGGAGGTTGAAATTCAATAACTTCTAATTCTATGTACCGGTATATATGTAGAAATAACTTTTTTTGCAGACTATGCAGAGTGGACTGTCCCAGACAGTGGTATGTTCCTGTGGATGAAACTCCTGGGAGTCCAGGATACCGCTGACCTGGTCATGCAGAAAGCTCTGGATGCAGGTACGTTAATTATGGTGAAAACGTTTTTATACCAGAATATGAAACGTAACATTGCTCACATTCTCTGAATTCTAGTCTAGCCTTGATGTTTCTATACATGTATATATTTGCCTACATTGTTAAAGGGATGTTTTTAGCCAAGTTACCAAACCCGGTTACCATAACTATTCTGCCAAATCACTTTCGTCCTACTAAAGTTTCCTAACTCAGCAGCTATAATGTGTTTGTCAACCAGAACAATGGGGTCGTGTGGCGCAACGGTAGCGTCCGCGACTCGGAACCAAGAGGTCCCGGGGTCGAGTCCTGACATGCCACCGATCTTGTGCCCTTGGGAAAGGCACTTTACAGGACTTTCCCCACTAGTTTCAAGTGAAAATGAGTATTATCTGTCCAGTAATCGTTTCTATGTGCGGGACATAACACCAGCAACAGCTGCCTCTGTTCCGCGTGGATTGTATTGTTGCAATCCCAATAAAATCAAATCAAATCAAACCATAACATAATTCAGATAATGTGAGCAACATTTTTTCGGCTTTACATGTTGGATATACAGGACAGTTCAGATGCTTTTAGTTTTATTGTGCATAGTCACTGGTCTGATCCTCAGCTCAAAATTAGACTTGGGAAACATTGTGCCTATCAACTGCATTTTATAAATAAAGATAATATTCTTGGAAGATAATAAAACAGTCATCTACTACAATAATCATGTACATGTAGCAGAATGTTCCAGCATTTTAAGTGTTTAAATGCAATGCCCTGTGTTTATGTTTCAGGTGTGCTGTTTGCTCCTGGCAAAGCGTTTACCGCCAACGACGCAACACCCAGCCCCTACATAAGGGCATCATACTCACAGGCTCCTGAACAGGACATTGATAAGGTATTATTACTGCTCCTTTTTTATGCCTCAAAGATTTTGCTTTCTGTAATGAACAAATTGAAAGCCCTTTGCACAAAAAAGCAGTATAAACAGGTATGATGATTGTATTAAGTTTTAAAAGAATCAGGGCAGGTTTACATTTTGGCATGAATTATAATAGGAAATTCCAGTTCAATACCAAGGCTAAGACACACTTTTTGACCTTTCTATTTTGTCTGGCTTTATACCATTGGATGTCTGTGTCCCTGTCCTGAATGATTTACAGATCTAGCAACACCCATGTGTACTCCTACAGGAAGAGGCTCCCTTTCCTTCTGTAGCGTCTTCTGGTCTCCAGCTTTCGATCTTTCAGATTTGTATCTGTCCTTTGTCTTTTCTTTTTCTTTTGAGTGAGGTTTGGACTTGGGAGTGGAATCTCTTGCTTCATCAGAGAGGCCACGCTATTATCATTAAGTTCCAAGATAGCGAGCTTTTGTAATCCTGAGAACATACTTTCAGTAAAGTGAGAGGGCAGTTCAGTTTTTATGTCATTCAACTGAAGACTTTAATTGGAGAAGAGGGACCCCTACAAATTGCTGAGGAATTACCTGGATAAACTGGTTTCCTGACAGGTCCAGTGTCGTGAGCCTGAGTCCTTACCTCAAGTGCCTGGATTGACTGTGCCTCTTCTGTTTAACCCTGATGAATTTGTGATGCAGCTGGGATGTTTCCTTCACATTTATACCCGACCTTGTTCCTCATTAAGTAAAAAAAAAAACCCTCATAGTTTCTTCATACAGCTTCTTCACTTATCCTCTATTTGAAAAGAGGTTCCACATTTATACCTAATTTGACATGAGGTTCCTAATAAAGTATAAAAAGCGTTTTTCTTACTTGATAAGGGTTATTGTGGGAACTACATGTAAACGTGCCATTCTTCTGTGATCCTTTATTTGAAAAGAGGTTGCGCACTGAAAAAAACAGTTCTTGTGATACAAACCTTCTGTTTTATCTCAGCTTTCTCTTCTTCAAATCCTTTATAGAAAAGAAGTTACATCATTATTTTCAAGTTATTACCTCTTAACTAATAGTGTACAAGCAAAACTGTGCATACATCCTACAAAATTCCAAATAGTTCATGTACACTTAGCCATCTTGTCTACAGTTTGTTCATGATTCCATGATATTACCCAGAAGTATGAAGTGGGAAAATATCACGGTATGGCCCATTCACTCCATTGACAAGTCTGAACCTATATATATGTTATAAGCTGTTTGCTATGCCTGCATGTTACTTTGGTTATATGAAGAGTGTATTACGACCTGCAATGGCCTCTTCTCTCCGAAAGGAGGAGGAGCGCCCGCCTCACAACATTTTTTTTAAAATAGTTCACAACACCGTAGCAATTAATACCCAAATTGGTAGTTTTTTGCAGCCCACACAGGGGCGTACCCGAGGGAGCCATTCTCTCAAATATCGGCCCATTAACGCACGCACTGACACATACAGATTTTCTTTCTTTCCCCGTACCATTCCACAGTGGAACTCCTTACCCGGCCCGGTAGTCATGGCTCCCGATGTTGAGTCGTTCCGGGCCGGGTTGGCTGCCTGCCCGCCTTAGCCTTGACCTCCTCCCCCCTAACGGCACCCCTCGCGGGGTTATCTGGGGGTAATCAAGATGAAGATGAAGTATATAGATAAAACTGTGTTTACATGTACTTCTCACAGGGTATCCAGAGGCTGGCTGCACTGTTGAAGGAAGAGCTAAAGCTTACTGCGTCCGTGTGATGTCAAACAGCCGAACTGCAAACTTGGTCGGGTTAATCTGAATGTCAGAGGTGAAGTCTGTAAATGTTACATTGGGACAGCTAAAGACGTTGTTTTAAACAGGGACAGCTATGTTCTAAAATCCCTTCGTTCCGACAGAGGGTTATGGTTGTCAGAACATACATGTAGGGGTGCCCATATAATTATAGGGGTGTAACCTAAATCATGTCTTACTTCTTTAAGTTTTGTTCATTATTGTATGTTCACATAGAATGATGTTAGTGATATGAAAGCGTAATCATGGAAGCTTCTAAAAGATGACGTAAAAAAAAAACTTTCAGTGTCACTAATCATAGCCAGTACTTGTATTGAGTTAGACTAACCAACATCTATTGCAATTAGGAATGACTGTAGTGCCTTTCAAATTGTTGGTTACTCGCTAGAAGATTAGTACTATCCTAATCAGTGAATATAACCATGACCAGTATTTTACTGTTGATCAGAAAAGACAGTCTTAATCTTTCAACTATGCAAGAGTGGAACTAATTATGTTGGAATATAGGTGTTGAATAGGCAGGGTTTAGATGTAACTAGTTGTTTGATGTACATTTTTGTTATAAAGACATGTACTGTAAACAATGTGTTAAATGAGAAGGGAGCAAATGACAGCTGAGGTAAATTTGGTATATCCTTCTAGTGGTATATCATCATTTAACTGGCAAAGAAAACCTATCATTTATAGAAGTTTACATGCAATACATGCTAAAGGTGCTTGTGTTCAATGATTCTTTAACGTATTCCTAAGGAAGCAAGCTATTTCTTTGCAGAGAAGGCTATTTAAATGAAATAGACAAAGTTTGAAATATCTATGATCCAAATCAATCAAATGGAAATGGCAGCATATCTTATGTGGGAGCAATAGCAATTTAATCAGTTTTCATATACTAGTATTCAATTATACAAAATGAATGAATTCTATATTCTGTGACTATTATGTGGAACTGTCTCTGTCTACAGATTACAGATAATATGGATCCATCTTTGGGATGGTGGGGGGTTATTTCCCGTTTTGTGTAGCAAAGTGAGGAAGTGCTTTATGTGGAATCGGATGTATTTGAATTGGATTTTAGTAAAAACAAACAAGGTGCTGAAAAGAGTTTTTGTGTGGGATATTATGTTTTCAGTTTCAGTTTTATTCAGATCCACAATTAGCCTCATAGGAGGCTATTCTTCCTGTGGTCTGCACATTCATATTTACATACATATATTACAAGCATACAAAACATTGCAAAATTAACAGTACATGGCAAACTTTATACAATTCACTACTTACAATCCAGTACTTTGCTAGTTGCCTATGTTATTCCACAACTGTGACATCCTGTATATAAAGCGTTTTTTTCTGAGAGTTTGGTTTTGGTAGTCTGATTTTGTTTGTGCTGGTTGAACGTGTGCGGTACTTGTGAATCTCAGATTGGAATGTGATTTTGTCGTACAAAGCCTTTGGCTGTTTGGTGAGCATGATAAGTTTAAATGTGACAAGGCTTCTCTGTTGGATTCTGCCCCTGACAGTCAGCCGTCCTAAGGTCTTTAGCATGGTGTCCACATGTGCATCCCGATCACAACCAAGAGCTAGCCTTGCTGCCCTGTTCTGGACCACCTGTAGTCTTCTTATGTTGTTCTGTGTTGTGTTTCCCCGTACGGAGCAACAGTAGTCTATTTAACCCTACCTAGACCGGGGGGAGGGCTAAAAGTGGCCGCGCCAACTTTGATGTCACCTAGCGTCTGAACGGCTACCGCTAGAACGGCCGAACTTGGTGACTTTTCCTAGAATATTGTTGGCAACAATCCTCTATCATTGGAATAAGATGATAATTTTTGTGTTGCCATGGCAACGGGTTTCTGACAGGCATTTTTGCTAAATTTAGTACTTTTTTTTCAACAATAGAATTTTATGGGTTTTATGTCAAGTTACTCATGGTTTCTAATATTAATAACATCCCATATAATTTTATGTAAATTTTGTCATTAAATATGCATAATTTATGCTAATTTGATGACGTCATTGGCCAAAATCCAAGATGGTGGACCATATCATGAGAACAGGTATATACAGGTTATTTTCATTAATATTTCATGAATACTTCCATTTATTTTTCAAAAAAAAGGTTAAAATGAAGGTCTTAAGTATGTCTAAAATGTATTTTAGGCTTTATCTTGGAAAGAAAACTATTTTTGAAAGTTCAAGATTGATGATCCAAGATGGCGGATATCTTAAATATGCATGACGTCATTTATGACGTCACCGGTGTTGCTATGGGCAACATAAGACTTAGTACACCCTAATATTCTGTCATAAATACTTTTGGTACAGTTATGTTGAATACCATTTACTTTTCAGGGAAAAACCTATCTAGACGGTTTGGGCCAATAAAATCACATTAATGACGTCATAATGACGTCACATTACGTCATAGTGACATAAAAATTGTAGATATGATAAACTGTTACTAGTATACCATCCTCTGAAAATTTGGTGGGTTGCCATACGACATACCGTTCGCGAGTTCTGAGGGGGGGGTCAAAAGGTCCCCCCCGTCCCCCCATGCCAAAAAAGACCGGTCTAGGTAGGGTTAAGGCGTTGACTACGGCCATTCTCTGCCGATGTGGTAGTAAGTCCTTAACCCTTCCCACCTGTGCCAAGCTTCTGTTGCACTTCTTAACTATATGAGCAATGTGGCTGTCGTATGTGAGGTTTTGATCAAGGTGAAGTCAAAGTAGCTTTACTGAGGGACATTGTTCTAGACGTTGTCCCCTTAGCTCCAGCTCCAAAGGTGGTGCTTACCTGGTTTTCTTTGTTGTTCCCACAAACATGTTGTTGTATTCCATTTCTTTCGCTACATTTAGTACAATATTGCTGAATTTCTGTTTTTTTCAGTTATTGAACATAATGTCTTTGAACACAGCTGAACAATATACGTACGTACGACCGGTACATGTGTTGCTACTGTTTACAGAAATAGACTTTTTTATTTTAAGCTTTGTCTAAAATCATTCAATGAATGGTACTAGACAACAATTTAACCCTCAAAAACCCAAACTTTTTTGTGACGTTAATGTCGTCTCTCATGAATATTAAGATATTACAAATCTTATATAAACAAAATTTTTAAAAGAAGGGAAATTCCTGTTACATTTCCTTCTCTACAAAAAGAAATGATAAGTACATCCGGGGACTTGAAATTACCATATATGGAAGTTTGGGAAGTCTAAAACTGGGCCATATTGAGTCTTGGTTGTCCCTTGTCTTGCGGGGCCCTTATATATATGGGTTGCACATACAGTACCATCTATATAGTACCCTGTATATGTACGATTTGGGGGTGTTTCTCGTGTAACGCATCACACCGCAGCGAAACGCAATGAATGCGGAAGTAACTATGCCACCGCGGGGCAAAAAAAGTCAAGGGACTGTGACCTGACCAAGACATGAAAATATTTGAAAATATTTTGTAAAAATTGCCAGCAGGACAAGGGTTAAGAACATTGTCTTCAGGAGTCTTTCCGTGACAGGGGGGTGTTTTTTTCTTTCTCCGCAGATATGTTGTTTTTGACCTGTTTAAGATTACCGCATTAGAACTGTATAGTCTAAAACAGAGGTTTAGGTTTCGGCTTATGTTTGGCGTGTTTTTATCGGGATTTTTCTTGGACTGGTATCTTCTTTTACGCCAGCCAAAACAGGTGGAAAATCTCGTTTCCCGTCGGCTGAACAGACAATCACGTGACCCCTACCCTGATACTAATTATTCCGCCCCTTTACCCTCTGACCCTTCCTCCCTAACCCTCGTAAGGGTCATTCGTGGCTCAAACTTTCTCTGTACGGTCACATCTGTTTGGCTCCCGATCACATTTGTCCCAAGCGTGTGTAGTTACAATTTCCCCTTTGGCTTCTTCCGCTGGTCACTGGATTACTTCACCCTGTACTTCTGCTCGTGTGGATTTCCGTCTCTCTGACTGTTTCTTGTGTAGACGTTCGCTTTCCACGTAAGTTGATTATTCCGCCATGGATCTTGACCTCTACACCAGAACTACCTCCGTTATGTGCGTCCAGCGGCTCAACTGGTTTCTGCGCGCCCCTGTGCTACAGTTTCGTCGCGTTTGCCACATCGATCGTCTGTTCCACGGATTTTGCGCCAAATCCCCATCGCCTCGGCAGACCGGACCACCTCGATCTCGGACCCCACTGGCTACCCCCGCCCGCCTGACGATGGAGGTTCTGTAGCAGGTTTTCCCCACTCCTTTCCATGTTCCCCCCGTTGTCTGTATTTTGTTGTTGTCTTCTCGTTTAATGTACTATCGTAACCGGTTTTATAATACTGCTACCACAGGAGGTTGCTGCATCATGGGCGTTCATAGATCTCCTTGCGTGTGGTCCTGCATGTGTACTCTTCTAGTAACGCTTCTTATTTCCTTGCATTTTCCTAGTTTGCGCTCTGGCTATTTACACATTCTTCCTTCAACAGAGACGTTCCCACCACGAGGTGTCACTCGAGGACAGCGCACTTCCTTACCTCCCGCTGTGTTAATGACAGCCAGGCTATACCCTCTTCCTGCCTGTTACAGTTGACCGCCTAGCCTTTTCTCTTCCAGACCACCCACTCGTGGGAACGTTGTGATGTTATGAACGTACTAGTAATATCCCCTTCCACCCAAACCCTCTAGCCTGGAATCCATCCATGAACGCTGTGTCTCCGCTCCGTTCCTCCGCTCTGCCTTCAGGATTCCAGGCTATAACCTCGTGATTAACCAACAAACTTCCTGACTTTCTTCCCGTATATAGTCCCCATCCTTGATCGGTTACAACCTCCTCGTTTTGTTTGTTTTGTTTTTGTTTTGATAGACTGGTTGGCTAGGTCAGTTATTAATGTGCTAACTGCCCTACTCCCACATGATTCACAGTTTTCTACACTCACTCTTCCAGCATTTGTTGTCTGATGGGCTGTCCTGACTGTTTGATTGGTTTCTCACTACATGTCTGGTGCGCCCACGTTGTATATGATCCTTACCTCGGACCCTACCTCTCATGCCCTCACCTCGCCTTGTTTTTCCGTCCCATCCACCCCCGACCGACCCCCGACCCCGTTTCCCCCCTACTAGCCAACTCCCACCCTGGATCTTGACATGTGCACATGACTCACACCCCCCCTTCATACACATATGCTAGTACATGTAGTAGTAGCAAGTCGTTCTTGTGTTTGTACACTCTCTTGTTTTTTGCATTGAACGCATTGATCTCATCGTTTTTTCAATTTCGTAGACGCAGCTGTGCCGAATTTACTTCACGTATTAATTATGTTTCTCCCTTTTGCGAATAGTCTGCTGCACACGGGAGGAACTAATGCTTCCCCCTTTTGCGAATAGTACATAGTGACGTGATGTCCTTCCGGTCACCGACAAGACAGTTGTTCGATATTGCCGCCTTACCAACAGCTGTTTACACATTACAGCTCTCTTTATGATCTACCACCACCGGTCTGAAGCTGTTTTGACGACCTGATTGCTTCCTTATTCGCAGACTCCAGTCTGGCATAGCATGTTCCTGGGAACGTCCTCCTCCTCAGTCCCTACCCCTCCTTGTTCTATCCCCCCCACCCCATTCTTCCTCCCCCATTTTGCCTTTACCCCCCTTCCCCATGTCCTGACAGGTTACTAGTAACGTTATGTGTGTGACGTTGAATTGCGATGTGCTCCCCGTGTGCCCCGTGTGCCTTGGAGATGTGAGAGGGCCTGCAAGGTATTGATTACGAATTACGCCAAATTTTTGCCGCCGATTACGAATTACGCCAAATTTTCGCCGCCGATTACGAATTACGCCAAATTTTCGCCGCCGATTACGAATTACGTTAAATTCTCAGAGCTGATTACGAATTACGTTGAATCATGAGGATTCCCGACCGTCTATAACACAGCAACTAATAGTTCTACGTCAAAACTATTGCCTTTGTGTTGATTGGCACATAGGCGATAGATCCAGGAGTTTATTTGGAGTGATATGAGGACAAGTTCTGGCGGGTGCCAAAATCACCCGAAATCGGGTTCGAACCGGTGGCTGCCGAGGGCACCGGGCGATAGGTGAAGCCGATCAGCGAGTTCCGAGCGCGCCATAATTGTAGGTGACGATTAACCTTTTCATAACCACTGAGCCATGGCGATAGAGGAAGAAACATTTATAAATATTATACATGC